TATTATTGTTTTCTAGAATCTGGAAATGCACCTTCTCTCCAATCCTGCACTCATATTTTGCCATCATCCTTTCCTCTACCTTTTGCAATCCCCACCTTCAGAAAAAGCCTATTCATACTCGGGGAATGGTATCTATTTAAAACCCTTTTGTGAATCCATCAGTAGCATATGTAATTTAAAGAGAGGTACTTCAAGTATCTTTACATACAACTGTCCTGAATCATTTTGGCTTGCCAACGGAACCGTAGGTGAAAGAATGGGTGATCCGTATAATGTGGTCATCCCGGGACCAATTTATGACAGTGTGAATAATAAAAAGAATATGAGAATAAACCCCATAGATTTAATTGTTTCGGCCATGTATACAACAGGAAACGAAAAAAACCTTAATGATTCTGAATTTGTAACTTTGGATGGTGGAAAATTTGGGATTCTAATGCACTGCCAAATTTTCTCTTCAACAATTGAATATTTGGTTACTCTTGGATCGCTTAAAGTAAACTCATTTGGGAACTTGACAAATGTACAACTTGTAGCCATTGCCTCCGCAACAAGAATAATGACACAGCTTGCGATAGACGATGTCATGGACATAGCATACAGTAGAAATAGTACATTGTATCTTAGTGAATTTGCACAACGATTTGCCCAGGAAACCATCTCTTCGTTTGTTGGCGCCGTGCAAGAAAATATGAGTGGATATGATTATGTACTTGAAGCGACCCAAGACGAAACAATTGTACCACTATCCGCCGTTCTACTCTATGTTTTAATTATTACATTGCCCCTGTGGGTTTTCTCTGGAGTTGGTCTTTGCTCTATTAGAAATCCTTCGACTGGTGTACGCATCAACTGGATACTTGCCGAATTCCTCTGCGCACCACAAAGATTATTCTACCGGGTCTTTACTGAAAACAACCATGAAAGAGATGATTTTTGGGAGAGTTTATCGGTACAGGAAAGGATGATGGCAAAATATGAGTGCAGGATTGGAGAGAAGGTGCATTTCCAGATTCTAGAAAACAATAATAGAAGTTTGGCTCACAAAGAAACCATATGATTACGTATTTGAAGCAAGGCAGATGTCACCCTATTGCAGTCCAATTAAATATGGATCCTTGTGTGTCCTTCTACTATTTACCGAAAAAAAAAAGATCTTTCCATTGACGAACAAAGAACTATTTGCAAATGTTTCTAATTCCAAACAATGAAATAACAATAACCATTCGGATTATTAAAAAACTTATTTTGCCAACATTTACATTTACATGTTTTATCTATGTATACACAGAATCTTGAGGATAACATCTAGGTTAATAATTATATCGAGGATACTATACTGAGTGAAAAAAAAAGTCACCGGCTAACAGAATGGATGTAAAAATAAAATTATTGGATAATTCAGTATCGTATTTGTGCTTCTTAACTATCAATACGTGCTTGTCATGGTTTTTAGAATAAAAAAAAATTGATATACGTAGTTATTTTAATTGCTGTACAAATTCTTTTTACTGTAATATCATATAAAATAATTGATATAAAATAATTAATAACTACAATTATTCTTCTATAAGTATTAAACTATTTAAATTTAATTTAAACATTTCGTATAATTAAAAAGATTATACATAATGGGAAAATATTATGATTTACGATTAGTTGATAAATAATTAGATTTTTTTAATTTTATCTTATTTATTTGTTTCTGTTTACTAACAAATACAGTACATCTAATGACACATTATTTACTATTTACTATGGATCTTAAATTCTTAATACTTTTTTTCTGATCAAGAATTTTATTTTGATGTACGCACCTTATATGTTACAGAAAACACAACGAATGTTTTTACGTTGCTGATTCGCGCTTAACTAATGAAGTAAAAAAATTTCTTTTTTACGTAATATCGAATGAGATATTCGTAATTCTTAAAAAGATAGCTTAAATGGAGTTTATTGAAAGCTACCAAAGAAATAAATCATCAAAGTCAACTAACCGATTTTTACAACATAAACCAATCAAATGATCGCGAGAGTCACTATTACGTACTATATAAGAAAGTTAATAACTAAATATGCTAATCGGCCCCTTAATATATAAAATTCAAATCGGCCAGCGATATCTTTCCAAGAATGGAAACGTATTTCGCATTTATGTTTTATACGTTCAATTCGGATTCTCTCGTATTATGTACAAGCGTTTGAACGACGATACATTGAGTACTCTTATATGAAAAGGGAAATTTAATAAAAATATTTACGCATTAGGGTTATACAAAATGTATGCAATAATAAAGTGAATTTCAAAATTGTTGAACCCTCTGCTTTTCCTATATATGTTGTCATTTTTCTTTTTAAGAAATTACTCTTGTTCCTTAATACCGTATTTACTAACTATCTACAATCTTTCATCATTTTGAGATACGAAAGGAAAATGAAAATTTAATATTATAGTGTACTGGGTACAATAATCATCAAATTATACTTCAAAATATCTGTAAAAGGCACCGATTATTTAATATTCCTTCCGTATCTTTCTTGGATACCAAATAACATACATTTATCCTTAATTTCCTTTGCGTGCAATGGGACAATCTAACGATAATAAAGATGAGATATTCTGGTCATCTAAACATTCTACAAATGCACCGTTGTCTGTGCCAAAAATGTCACTTGGTAGTTCTGCAACCACGATAGCGCAGAATGACAATGGTTCGTCCTCACAAAAAAGATCTTATGAAAAGAGAACCATTGGAAACGGAGATGATTTATCTCGTCAGGATACTGTAGACACAGATCCAAAATCTTTTATGATAGTTGACGTAGAATTTTTTCCAGCGCTCGAAAAAGTATTAATGAACCAGACTGGCTCTCCATTATCACAATATAATTTTTATTCTTATCTGAGACAGGAGTGGCAGGGCGAAGAAAATCTGAATTTCTGGTTGGATGTTGTGACCCACGAAAATCTATTTGAATCATGGCGAGAGTATCAGAATTATATAAAGAAAGCGCGGGGCCACGAAGAAAAAGGTCGTATAATCTATGAAGATGATGATGAATACGAAGAACAGGATTTTATACAAGAATGGGAGCCAGATCATAATTATCATAATTCAACATCAAGTGCCGAGGGCGGAGTAACTGCCTCAATCGACTCAAAGAATCCAGTAATACCATCACAATCTATGTCATATGGTCACGAGATTACCATAGACTCACCAGGAGATTCTAGAAAAAGGGAGGTAGTTAAACGCATAAGTGAAGATGAACTAGTAAAATCGGCGCAAAAAATATACCAAAAATTTGGTCAAATGAATATCTTACCCGATGAAAATCGACACACAATGTCGGATCTTATAGAACGCCAAGGAAGATACAATCCCGTGGTATTTTCTTCTTCGAAATCTTATGTTTATCACATCATGAATGTAATCTATTATCCGAAATTCGTTCAAACGGCCGTCGATACGAACCTGACTCAAATTCATGCTATCATCGCACTACCTCTGGGAGTTATATCACTCGCTTTTGGCTTTTCTCTGGAACTTTATAATATATTTATGGGTTGGGAGAATCGTTTGTTGAGGTTATATTGGTTTCCTGCTATATGGCTCGGTTGGATATTCTTACAGACAGCCGCCACAAGGTTCTTGCCGATACTCAGCATCTTTGGTGTTAGGTATGTTCTCGTTTTTAATCCTTTGGCATGGTATTTTCACAGAGTTCCCTCACCATTAACCTCGCCTTCCTTTATAGTGAAACCGAACTTTTCCGATTTAGCCGAATTCGTGAAAGATCTATTTTGCAAGCTCATAGGAAAAGAGCTTTCACTTTTATAATATGGGATACGGTAGTTTCGATATTAACTTTGGGAGTATTATTAATAGTCCCACCGATTACTCTGTACAGTAAACAAAAGTGATTTTAGTTTTGCGATGTGAGACTTTGATGTGTCGCACGAAACTCGATCCCGAATCCCTCATAAAAGTCTTCTTCTGTGATTAATTTATAGACATTTGTTATAGATTACACTGTACACTAATTTCTAATTTGGTCGTAGGAACTGGTTATTTATAAATAGGGCATTTTCGGGTAAAAGCTAAGCGAATGTTATGTATCTATAAAAAATTATTCATTCACCTTGCAGTCATAAACGATTTTCCCCCTGTAAACTTATCATTTGTAGTTTAATTTTTTTTTTCCATCGTGTACGTAATTTTCGCAATGCTGTAAATCTTTAAACCAAATCTTTGTGCATCATAGTAATTGTCAATAGACCTATTTTTGTCCTAATAAAATATCCAAAGATTAGCTTCAACACGGGGTTTTTATTTATAATTGGGATAGTATAAATTTTGCAAATAATAATAATAATTAATTAATTTTGAATTATTATTATTTTGAATTAGAAATTTATTAATTATTAATGATAACTTCATATTTCTTGTCACAGATCATTAATTATCTTTTAAAATTTCAAACTAAAAAGTAAAATTGACCAAATAGTTTTTATCAAGAATTTTATAAAACAATAGATATTTAGAAAAAATGATTTGATGGTTTTATAATAAATATATATATAATTTTTATAATTTATAAAAAAAAAAATAATGTTTTTTATTAATATACAATATAAAATA